TTTCCAGTACAGTGTGATCCCATTATATGCAAGTTAAATTATGCAAATTTCAACTAATGACACATAAATAATATTAATAAAAACTTCACGTTATATGCCAAATTTTAACAGGCACCTCCTCCCAAATTATGCATCTAGTTGTCTGATATTTTCACAGCTAGCAGGTCAACTGAATTACAAGCATGCTTTATTACCTGGTGGTAGCACCTTTTCTGAAACAGAAATACCTATTAACCTTCGTCTATATTAGATGAAAGCTCATTGATAAAACTTCTTCAAAGATTTTGGTGATAGTTACCTTATTATTTTGACATTTTTATTTAAAATCTTTATTGCAGCTTTCAAAATATCATCCAAATATGTTAACACTAGTGTTGAAAAACATCTTGAGTATCAGTAGCTTTGGAACAGAAATTAGATGTGATAAAAGTCATTATGACGTGCTACACTGTTAATTTATTAGATAAAACCAAGAAGTATTAAGAAATAATGTTAATAGAATTAAAACAGCACCAGTACGGCAATAACACAGCAGATTATATACTGCAGATTTGTACGTTCTGAGCATACATTCCCCACATCCTAGCCCCAGTCTGTGGGATATGTAGACTCAAATTAAGTAAGTTCTTTAGGACCACCTCCCACAAATAAATGCACCCTTACTTATGAATCCCTATTACTCAGGTGTGAAAAAGATGGCTTAGATCAAAAAAGATACACAAAATGTTACTGGTTGGGGCTGTCAGGTGGCATGTTGTTTAAGGTGCTGGACTGCCACATGGCCGACCATGGTTTAAGTTCTGGACCTGGCAGCTTGCTTTCTCACTTTTCCTCTCTTTCTCCCTAGTGATAAATTAAATTAAAAATTTTAAAAAGTGACTCGTTTGACACCAAGGAGAACATCTTTAAGGCATTAGCAGAAGAGAATTTTAAAGTTCACCTTTTCCTTCTTTGAAACTAGTCAGTAAATACTGTATGAATTATTTTATGCACATTATACTGCTTTGTTTGGTGTAGGGGAGAAATCCATGTCTTTGCCCTTCATAAACTCAAAATATATGAGAAAGTTGGAAGGATGTTAGGAGAATCTGCAGGACAGTGGCAACATTTAGCCCAAGAACAGTAGGAGAATTGAGGGCAATACAGAGGAAGAAGATTGTATGGGTGACGTTCCCAGCTAAGAGAGACAGGCACACTGGGAGGATGTGGAAGGGATTTGGGCTTGGGGGAGCATTGAGGAGAGGTGCAGATGAGAGGAGGCATGTGTGTGGGGTAAGGGATTGATGAGAAGGGGTTAGTATGACACTGAAGGGCTCAACTTCTGGCAGGGCCATGCAGACCATGCACTTAATTACATTTGGAAAAAGGAGGATGGTCACCTCTAGTTGTGGCTTTGCTCTGAACTCAAAGTCCCTTTTCTTTTCTTTTCTTTTCTTTTCTTTTCTTTTTTTTTCTCTTTCTTTCTTTCTTTCTTTCTTAGATCAAGTAATATAAAGAGACTTTCAGTAACTTTTCTTTTCTTTTCTTTTCTTTCTTTCTTTCTTTCTTTCTTTCTTTCTTTCTTAGATCAAGTAATATAAAGTGAACTGGCTTTCAGTAAGAATTGCTTGTGCTTGTAGATCAGGCATTGTTTGAACTCCCTTAATAACTCCTGTATTTCTCATAGCAACCCTGTGAGGGTAGTTCCTGTTATTTCTCCCATTTCACAGGTCACAAGGCAGAGGCACAGGGATTAAGTGACTTGCCAAAGATTTATTTTTTTATTTAACTTTATTTATTAATTTGACCAGAGAGAGACAGAGAGAGAGAGAGAGAGAGGGAAAGTGAGAAAGCAAGCTGCCAGGTTCAGGACTCAAACTGTGGTCAGCCATGTGGGAGTCCACGCCAAACCACCATGCAACCTGCTGGCCTAACTTGGCAAAGAATTTAAAACTGGGAAGTTGCAGAGCCGGAGGGTCAAATCAGGCAGACCAGCTCCAGAATCTGCATCTGTGTCACCTTGTACAGACTCTTGGGAAACTAGAATTGGAGGAAACACACATACCTCTGCAGACAAGAGCATGTGTTCTCACATATGAGGATTTACAATATAGGAAAAATCAGCAGTAAATAAAATAAAATAAATAAAATAGTAAAGTAAATAAAATAGGTTTAGAAACCCTACAATTTGCTATTAGGGGCCGAGTGCAGAAGGAGGGTAATGTAGAGAGTAAGTGTGAGGAAGTGAGGATGCAGGCCTGGTTCTGCCCTGAGGCCGAGAAGTCTGAAACAAGATCTAGCAGACCTTACTGAGCTCCCTCTAACTGCCCAGCAGTGGGGCTGGTTCTTCCCAGGGTGTACCCCTTTCTTCCCTTCTGCATGGTCATGTCAATCTCCACAGGGTACTACACGTGGTTGGATTCTTCTTTCCTTCAACAAAAAACTTACCAAAAATCTAATATAATCTTCTCAGTTATGAGATGCCAAGGATAAATATGACCAAATTCCTATCTTCAGTTTTGCCCAGAAAGCCTCGTAAGACTTCTGAAGACCCTCTTTACCTCTCCACCACTACCCCAAATCCCCACCTGCTATGTTGTCTATAACTTTTTTTTGTTTTTTGAGAGGTTTTCACTATAGGGCGCGTGCGCTCGCCAGACAGTCAGAGAGACATAGAGACAGAAAGCGAGAAATCACCCCCCAGAGGGGATGGTCACGCCGCAATCCCTTCTCCTCCATTCTCCTCTTGGGATCTTGGGCACGCCTGCACACACGCCCGGCGTGAGTTTTAAGCCACCGGGTCCGGGATGTGAACCATGGTTGACTACGTGGGAATCCAGCAACATAGCCGTTACACTAACTGCTGGTTCCCTATAACTCTTTTTGTAGAGAGATTTTTTACTATAGAGTGCATGCGCCCACCAGAGAGACAGAGAAAGAATTCTCCTCTCAGGGGGTATGGCCACACTGTAATCCCTTCTTCATTCCCCTCTTGGGCATACACATACACATGCCTTGCATGAGTTTTAAGGCCGTGGTACCGGGACTTAAACCCTTTAGGTCCGGCTGTGTGGAAGTCCAGTGCCTTAACATCTATGCCACCTGCTGGCCCCACCTGTAACTATTTTAAAAGGTATGAAAATATTTAATCTCACAATTAAAAAGCTGAAGATAGCAATGCCTGGTTTCCAGGGATCCTCAATTAGTATGGGTGAGTTTGTCGAATGGTTTGGTTTCTTGGGCAGCCTGTGGTAACAACTGTCAGAGCCTGTGCTTTTAAAGTTGGGGGGTGTGAAGACCTGAAGTAGTGCTGGGGTGATTGGTGAAAGTACTGGGGAGGCAGGGCAGGTCTGGCCCAACGAGCTCCTCATTATTCTGTTGTCCAGATTTGAGACTCCTGGAGACTCCTTCCCAGAATGACATGAACCCTGCTTATTTTCTCTTGTGGGTCAGGATACAAGCTGAATACTGAATACTTAATGATGAACCTGTGAAAACAGGCATCGGAGGTTGTATATACTTAAAAAAAATACTGACTCTGTTCAAAGGAACATTTTTCCATCTTGCTTGTTAGTCAAGTAATTGCAGACTAATGCCCCAGGAGAGATTTGTGACATAAACCCTCACTGAATGTGGGATTCCCTTCTCCCCACTCCCATTAAAGGTTTAATTATATCAGATCAATCTATATTCCTTTCATTAAGATTGCTGTTTTTAAGAACTAAGGGTTTTGTAAAGGTATAGCTTTCAGGGAGCAAATGTTTGTGTAATACAACTCGTTTACATAGGCCTGATTCTGAATGCTCCTGGTGCTATTTCCTAGAGATACAAAATCTTTCCCTTAATTGTAAGATTTAGGAAATTAAAAAAGTATAATTCACTTTATTGTATGGTATATCTAAAACATTATAAAAAGTATATTCCTGCTCCTTTGTAGTGTTGACAGTGGAAGTGAGAGGGAAGTAGAGGAGGAAGGTAATTGAACTGAGCCTTAAAGGAAATAATGACTATACTTTTAGGGGCCAGAGTATAAAACATAATCTTTATCAGGAGTCCCCAGACTGTTCCCAAGGCTCACCCTGTTACTCACCCTATTCCTGAATCACCTGCTTCTCTGTGTCTCCCTGAGGCTGGAGGTGTAATAGGGTGAGGTGTCTGTTGTACATATTTCTTGGTATTTAACAAGCTCTTGGCTTTGTTTTCGTTGTTTTTGAGGCCTAGCCACAGGCCACATCAAAGTAGCTGACATGTGAACAACGAGGTCTGGCATGTTGGAGCAGGGGCTCTTCACTGTAGTGACTTGGAGAGTAGAAAGCAATGAGAAGAGCTGTGATGGTTACAGGCAGTGAAAGGACCAGAGCTGTGGCAGAGCTTGGTCCCCTCCTCTGTGTTCCATTCATACACATCTGTCAGAGCTCTGAGCAGTTTACCCATCATTCTAGCCAGAGACATGACATGTAGGAAGTGCTCAGTATTGGTTAAATGACTGCTTTTTTGAAAAGTTGTAGATAAAACTTTTTTTTCTCTTTTTTAGTCTACCTTTCTTTAATGTGAAAGTACTTTTTAAAGAACTTTCAACTCGATCTCAACATTTATATTTTGAACGTTGTGGATGTAAAGGTATAGCTAGACTATCCTTTAATTTGTTTTTATTAGTCCTGGGTTAATATATTTTGGTTTTTGCTTTACATTTCAGACCTTCTCTTAAGGCTGTTCTTTGAAGGATTGATGATAAAAGCAACTGAACTTTGTCTAATTGACTAATTAACCTTTTAAAGGACACTAAAAGTCACAGCTCAGGTGATTGCAGTTAATTTTCTCAGCTTCAAACCACTGTTCTTGTCCACATCTGAGCAGTGTGCTTCCCGACGTTTAGTCTTTTCTCTCTTCCTAAGATTACGACTCTCTCCTTTTCTGCTCCTCTTGTCATGAATGGGTGTGAGGTGCTCTTGGTTCCAATCTTTGCTTCCCAAGATTCCCTGTCTTGTGTCTCTTCACATTCTTCTTTGGTATCTTATCAGTTCCAGGGATTTGACTTCCATTTCCAGGTAAGTGATTCACATATGTGTTCACAGGTCTAGCTCTCTTGGGCTCCAGTCACGTCCATGTCTTTCTCTACTTCAAGTTGCGTAGGCATTTCCAACCCAGTGGGTCCAAAATAAGGCAGCCTAGTGTCTCCTCCCATCCAGTCTGACCCTCCTTTGTTTGCTGCCCAGTAACACCTATCCCTATCCCCACCCCACACAGAGACATCTTGTATCTGGAGTACTGTAGCACTCTCCCATGGCCTCCCTGCCACCAGGGGAGCTTTCTAGAACAGATTTGAGGCTAAGAGTCCTCCTTTAGCTTCTTATCTATAAGAGTTAAAATATATACTACTGAACATGCACATAGAACCTTCCTGTTCAAGCCCACTGGTTCCCAACTGGGAGCAGTACTGTTCTCCAAAGGGGCCTTTTGAAAACATTACAGGTGTTGTGATTATTGCGATGGGGAACTAGAGTTGTTCTTGTTATTATCTGACTTCATAATATAGCTTGGGGCATATTATTTTTAAAAACATCTTTATAATGAGGTGGTTAGGGGTCTAAATAAGAGATGGAAAAATTGACCTTATGTGGGGCCACTCTGAGAGACCGGGAGTGGGTGGGGACTAGGCATATTTATTTTATATTTATTAAAAATTATTTATATTCATTCACTGTACATCAATACAGTGAATGAGATTTTCCAGGAAGACTGTATATTGGCTCAATCAGGGATATTATGATACATGTTATTGTCAATAATACTTTTCCATTTCTTGTTTTTTATATATTTTGCCCCCCCCCCATTCTCTACCTCTCACCTTCTGCCATTTCCCACCCTCTTCCCACACTGTCTCTGGTGTCTACAGTTGCTTTCCATGCCTTCCTCCCTCCCCCACATTTTGATTTGTAAAGATCGTAATCAATCTAAATACTTTCAGTAGCAAACACACCTGGTATATACATATCTATGAGCACATGTCTGACTTTAGGCATAAACCTCAGTAAAATGAACATACTATAAAGTAGCACCTAGCTGGGGCTTACTGTAGTAAGTAAATAAATAGTAAGTAGTAAGTAAATAGGTACTTTACTTACTGTAGTCAGTAGATACTTAGCTTTAGCTTTAGCTAAATAATAATAATCACAATAATCACAACACCTGTAATGTTTTCAAAAGGCCCCTTTGGAGAACAGTACTGCTCCCAGTTGGGAACCAGTGGGCTTGATCAGGAAGGTTCTATGTGCATGTTCAGTAGTATATATTTTAACTCTTATAGATGAGAAGCTAAAGGAGGTAAAGCTAAGCTAAAGCTTAGCTAGTAGTAAGTAGTAAATAGGTATATTCTTTTAATTTAGAAAAAACAATTTCAGTTTTAATAGGTCAAAATCAAAAAGTATTAGAGAAATTTGTTTAAGACTTAAAGCCAGGAAAAGGTTAGGATTCAGTTCAAACAGTAGGTAGATGAAACTATCAGCAGTTCAAGAGAAGACAAAAATCTTTAAATATGGAAAACAAAGCACAGAAGAAAATCAGTAATGTTTTAATCAAAAGTCATAAAATTCTATTTCACTAGTTCAGTCTCATGTAATTAATCTCTCTTCTATTGAATTTTCAGTGTTACTTGTGGTCTGATTTTTCCATTTAAACTCTGGACGTTAACATTCAACTCCAGACTTGGTCCCTACCATTAGGCTGGCCATTTTCTTGGTTGTTTTTTGTACTCTTATTTCTGTGTGACTGACTTTAGTTTTCCTGGCATAGCACTCCCTTCAGCACCTCTTGGAGAGCTGGACTGGTGTTGATAAATTCTTTCAGGTTTTGTTTATCTGAGAGTGTTTATGTCTTTTTTCCCATATGAAGGATAATCTTGCTGGGTATAGTATTCTTGGTTGAAATTGTTTTTCACTTAACTCTTTGAATATATTTTCACATTCTTTCCTTGCTCACATTGTTTCCAGTGAGAGGTCCGATAGTAGCCTGATGGGATAGCCTTTGAAAGTAACTTGATGTTTCTCTCTTGCCAATTTTAGTATCTTGTCCCTGTGGTTTTGACCAATCTGGCTATGATGTGCCTTGGAGAAGATCTTCTTGGGTTGATTCTATATGGAAGCCTTTGCATTTCTTAGGTCTGGGTATTTGAGTGCGTCTCTAGGTTTGGAAAGTTTTCTTGCAGGATTTCATGGACTAGATTATCAATGCCCTTATTAGTTTCTTCACCTTCCGGGATACTGATTATCCAGATGTTTGGGTGTTTAATGGTATATTATTATACAATTATTACATATTATTCTCATTTGGGGGAGGTTATTTTCTCAGTATTTCTGGTGAATTTTTCTAGGTCAGAGATTCTATCTTCTACATCAGAGATTCAATCTTCTGCATGACCTAATCTGCTTTTAATACTTTCCAGGGAGGTTTTGATTTCCTGCATAACAGCCTTCATCTCTAAGAATTCTATTAGATTCTTTTTTTTTTTGGAGAAGTTTTTAGCTATAGGGCACGTGCGCTCGCCAGAAAGAGAGACGAGAGACAGAAAGAAAGTGAGAAATCACCCCCCCCCCCAGGTGGTATGGCCACACTG